ATACAAAGGTATCAACTTCTTGAATTATGTTCTATTACTTAAGATCATACTACAGATGAGAGATTAAATGGTTTGTTAAATTTTTTTTAAGTAATTTTATTCTCAAAAAGCTAGAAAAATCTACTTCAATTAAAAATATATATAATTTTTTTTAAAAGGGCCTCACATTAAAGTTTGACTTTAGGCCACCAAATTTATTGAGCCGCCCCTGAATTGAACATGAACTCATATGTAATTTTACTTTATATTGGTGTAGAACTAAAGTGTGAATAAGTATTTACCCAATAAGGTGGTGTTTTATGAGTTCTTACCTCTCCAACAATAATTATTCTCACAAATGGCAATACTATCTATGTATCAGTAGAGAATCTGAACTACTATTCTCTACTAGTACCTGGAAAATCAAAAGAAAATTCTTCAATTATTTCCCATGTGAAAAGAACTAGGGGTGTTCAAACCGAACCGGAAAATCGCATCAAATCAAAAAACCAAACCAAATTGATTAAAAAACCCGACTAGATTTGGTTTAACTTGGTTTGGTATTGAGTAAAAAAACCCGAACCAAACCGACATATAAATATATAAATTTTATTTATATTTTTAAGACTATATAGTGATTTTTCTTTAGAAAATGTAGAAATATTTGGGATCCTCTCATGTATTAACCTTGAAAGCATAAATTAACACGACTAAGAAAATAACTATCATATATTACTAAAAAAAATTCTCCCATTAGAATATTTTAATAGATCATATGTTTGTCAATTTTTTCCATATTTACTAAACATATATTCACTTATCAAAGCTTTATCTATAATTTTAATAAAATAAGATTGAAATAATATTCATGTAGAAAAAAAACCCGAAAAATCCGACAAAACCGAACCAATCCAAACCGATATAATTGGTTTGGTCCATGTACACCCCTAAAAAGAACCATAATTAAAAATAGAACCATTTCTCTCACATGTGAAAAGTATTTACCATGAAGAAAGTAAACTATGAATTTTTTTTTTTCATTGTAAGTGGAGGAGCTACTTTTCATAACATTGTTTGAAACATAATATCGTTTAGGGTTTAAGTTGTAATAAAATATTTATACCATGTAATTTAAATTACTGTAGTAGATTGCTTGTTATTTATTCTAGGTTATTATTTATCTTTTAATTGATCTAATTACATAAATAATTTTTTTATATCGTTAATACTTAGAACTTAAATTATTTTTTTTTGTTGTTGTTTTTGGCCTTTCAGAAAGCGCGATTTAATAATATGGATTGATCTTCACTGCTTCTCTTTCCATGAATTACTATTTCACTTTATGATTATTATGGTTTTAATTAAAATCGTTTCTCAGTAATATAATAAATAAAAGAAATGAAGAAATTAAACTCAGCGCATAGTGCACTTAAATATTTTTCTGCTTTCAATCCCAAATTTCAAATCAATAATACTATATTGTGAGTAGTTGACTCCTTTGGCAATCTAAATTTTTTCTAGACTATCAATGTACGAAACTTAAACTCATCAATTTAAAGTGGCTAACTTGATAAATTAAACCCTAAACTCATCAATATTAGAAACTTAAGAATTAATATCTAGCAAAGCAAGAACAAGATTTCAGCACTAGCTAGCTATAGCGAAAAAAACTACTCTTTTGGTAATGGAAGATGTGCTACAAAAAGATTCATTTTTTCGCATCCAATTAGAAGACTCCACCGAGTTCTTTCATAAAAGTCCGATAAAATTGGAACGATACAAAGGAGATTTTAGGGCGACACTATCGGATAATACACCTGATTGTCCTTTATCCGGTGACGAAACTAAAATTAGCATAAAATATTTGTAAATTGTTGATCTTTTGGTGGTTTTTATCTTTTTCTTATGGGGTTGGGGGGGATCAGTGATGATTGAAGAAATGAACATGTTAGTTATTTTTTAGTTATTAATGTTCTTATTTTTTTTTCCAATTTAATTTAGTATACTATTATCACTTATAGTTGAATGAAAATATCAACCATTAAGGTAGAAGTAAGAAGTTTTAGTCTCCATCTATTTATCCTTACGTTAGTGTATGATTAGTTTTCGCGCATCTTGATTAATTTTTTAAGGTACTTGTTATCTTTTATTAGCACATGCATCAATTGACTCTACGCTCCTTTTCTTTTTTTCCTTCTTTTTTTGGATTTTATCTAAAATTCGAACCCCCCTAATTTCTCGAGATCTTTCTTACTTCCAAACTACCAAGCAGAGCTACCTTAGACTAAGGGATATCAATTTACACCCATCGCCGAAAAATAATATTGTGTAATTAAAAATTTATTTTATGTATATATATAATATGTTGAACCCCTTAACTTTTTCGCGTGCTTACTTCTTAATATTTTTTATACCCCTTAACTTATGGTGTTCAGTTTCTTATCCCCAAGGGCCAAGTTTCATTAGGACTATCCATAAACAAATACTCTTCTCGTCCTATTTTAACTGTTGTTTTAGGTCTTTTCACGGCCATTAAGAAAATAATAAATACAAGGTATAGTTTATTAAATTATCTTTATTAAACATTATTTTTAGAATTGAACAGTATTAGAAAGTACTATAACTTCTTTAGTATTAAGGGTGTAGTTGAAAATAATTAACAAATTAGTCTTGAATTCTTAAGGTGAAAATTATGTTGGAATAATTTTTTTGAGCTAAAGCGACAGTTAAAATGAGACTAAGAGAGTAAATTACAGAGATCAAAGTGAATGGCACTGTATGTACGTTGCAAGTTGCAACTTTATTGATGAAAACTAAGAGTCCACCAAATTGTATAGAGAACCTGGTTCTCTATCAGTTCCCACAGAACACACACACACACAACGATAAGTAAATGACATCAATATTTTACGTGGAAAAACTCCCAGCTCACGGGATTAAAAACTACGACCTACACTCGTAAGATTTCAACTTCACTAACCGAGCAAACTTTAGATTACAACCTATTGTAATTTAGGAATTAAACTCTTAATCTCTCACCTTCTTGCAATAACTCTATTGCAAGCCTCTTTGTAATAACTCTATTACAAAGCTCATCACTAGACTAACTTTTGACAAACACAAACACACGATTTATAGTTTTACAGAAAATATCCTACCAAATGCTTCTAAACTAAGCTGTGTAGGAATTACAAGTAAATAACACTAACATAGACACAACAGTGCTAAGGACACACGAGAAACTCAATGCTGGGATCTGGTCCTTTGTTCAATTGCATCTTTGTTCTTCAAGCCTTTGAGTCAAGGAAAGGCGGCAACACACATGGGAGAGAGACTTAATGATTTAGGGTTTGCAAGTGTGTGTTTTCTCTTGCTTCATGTTGGTAATATATAAGTGAGTTCATTGGGATGATGTATGCAATTATCCGGTACAAGGCATGCTCCATAAAGTGACTGTTGCACCGTTGCGTGTGCAAAGAAATAGTGCAACGACTTTAACAACTATAGAGAGTTAACTTGTATTGTTACCGGAGGAACTGATGGCCATCTGTTTCCTCCGCCGTTTCTTTGATTGATCATGTTGGAACTTGTGTCAGACATATGACTTGATGTTCTGAGCACTTTGAGGCTGTGTAATAGGTTCCCGATCTGGTTCTCATATAAAGTTTGTTAAATCATCACAATACAAAAGTCACATAACTTATCAATTCACCTAGTTATTGAGGTGGATTTAAGATTATTTAAGTTTGATGTCTAATCTTTGTGAGTATATCAAAAAGGTCCTTAATATATCAGGGTTGTTTTATTGTGATCCTTGATATATTTGCCATGACCGAAATGGTCCTTAATGTAAGTGAAAAGATAACTTATTTGGTCTCTTCATCTTAGTTAAGCACAGAAAATGTCGACAAGGGAGCAATTTTGTTGGCATTGTTATTGAATTAACGAAGCAAAATATCTCGACGAAAGAAGGAACTTTTCTCTTCTTTCTCCGAAACTCTAATATTTTAAAATAAATTTAGCTAGCTTAAACGGCTAATATTTGAATCGCAAGTAGCATTGGATATATTTATACTCCAACTCACTGGTTAAAATCCTGAACTTACTTTTAAAAAGTATATTTAAAATTCCAGTAATAATCTTAAGGTAATATTATAATAATAATTGAATTCATGGCTAAATATTTTATCGTTCGTTATTCAGTTGATTTTATCATATTTTTATCATGATTGTTTAATGATAGTTTTATTCGGCCAATTTGTGCACACTTTAGTTATCTCATGAAATACTTATCATTTCTAACCAGAGGCGGATCTAGGATTTTTATAATATGGGTGTACCACTAAAGAAATGAGAAAAAAAAGTATTAAGTAAGAATTGATCCCTGCTCCTCTAGGTTTAAGTAAGAATTGATCCCTGCTCCTCTAGGTAAAAATATTAAGCATTCAACCAAGTACACCAGTATCTTTAGAGCATGAGTGCGAGCAAATAATATTAGATCAATTCTAGCAAATCTATATATTATTAAAAGGAAAGGACAAAGCTCTCTTCTTAAGCCAAGTGGCATCCTAAAAAAAGACACATGACATAATTAGTTACTTTTTAGTTATTTAATTGATAATTAGTGTTGTAAATTGAGAAGAAGAAGAAGAAGAAGTGTAGAAGAGAGATCTTGAGAGAGACGATCGATAAGAAAATGAGAGTATATTTCATTACTAAGAAACTTAATCTTCTGAGAGTATACATTTGTATATATTTACATTGTAATTAACTGAACCCTTAACTCCTAATCTAACAACCGTTTAACTAACTAACGACTCACTTAATAACTAACTTTAACATGTAAAATTACTCTACTACCCTTATATCAGTCAACACTCCCCCTCAAGTTAGGTGGTGCAAAGATATCGAAAACACCTAACTTGGAACTTATATATGCATGTTGAACTTTACTTAATCCTTTTTGTGAACAAATCTGCAGGTTGATCTCTGGTAGGTATATACTTTGTGCAGACTAGTCCTTATTGAATTTTTTCTCGTATGAAGTGGCAATCGATCTTTATATGTTTGGTTCTCTCATGGTAGACTGGATTATCAACAATCTGAATAGCTGCTTTGCTATCAGTAAATATATCTACTGGCAATTTTACTTCTGCATCAATTTCTTTTAACATTCCTACTAGCCATGTCAATTCTGCTACAGTTGCAGCTAAGCTTCTGTACTTTGCTTCTGCTGAGCTTCTTCATATAGTAGTTTGTTTTTTCGATTTCCAAGACACTAGAGAATTGCCTACCTTGATCAAAAAACATGTGATAGACCTTCTAGTGACCGGACAAGCTGCCCAATCTGCATCACAGTATGCTGTGATGGTTGTATTATATTGACTTGATAATAGTATACCTTGTCCAGGATTGTTTTTCACATACTTCACAATTCTTAAAGCAGCTTCCATATGAGATTTCTTTGGTTGCTGAAGAAACTGGCTTAGAGTTTGAACTCCATAAGTTATATCTGGTCTAGTGACAGTTAAATACAAGAGTTTACCAAATTAAACCTTTGATAAGCTGTCTGATCTACATTAGGATCTTCAACTGATCTTTCATCTTTTGAGATGTGCTCATCATACTGTTTTGTTGTAAGTTTAGCATTGATACCATTGGTGCAGTTGATGGTTTTACTGCAGTTAATCCAACTTTTGCTATGAGCTCTAATGTGTACTTTCTCTGATGCATAATAATACCCTTGTTGGACCTAGCAAGTTCTAATCCCAGAAAGTACCTTAACTCTCCCAAGTCTTTCATTTTGAAGATGTTCTGTAGAGAAGTTTTTGTGTACTGAATCAGCTTTAAGCTGCTTCTAGTAATTAGCATATCATCAACATAGATCAGAACTAACACCATACCTTCTTCTGTTTTCCTTATGTATAAGGAGTGGTCAAACTGACTTTGTTTAAATTGTAAGTTGTTCAAAAGAGCTTAAGACAATTTCAAGTTCCATTGCCTAGGAGCTTGTTTCAGACCATATAAGGATATAGTGAGTCTGCATACTCTCTTCTCCCCCTGACTCCTAAATCCATGTGGTAAGTCCATATAGATTTCATCAAATAGATCACCTTGTAAGAAGGCATTGTATACATCCATTTGATGTATATGCCATTGCTTAGTTGTTGCTAGAGCTAATATTGTTCTAACAGTCACCATTTTCATCACTGGTGAGAATGTTTCTTGATAGTCAATTCCTTCTTGTTGACTATAACCTTTTGTAACCAATCTAGCTTTAAATCTTTCTATCTCTCTAATGCCTTGTATTTGATTTTATATATCCACTTACATCCTATGGGTTTCTTACCTTCTGGTAATGTGACTAGTGTCCATGTATTATTACCTTCAAGAACCTTTATTTCTTCTTTCATGACTTGTATCCATCTTGGATATTTACTTGCTTCAGCATATGAACTAGGTTCAGTAGTTGATGAAAAAGCAGAAATACAGGCTTGATATTTAGAAGATAGATGATCATACCATATATATATTTATTTAAGGCATAAGGTATCTCCTGATGAATATTTAGAGAGACAAAGTCTTTCAACCATAGTGGTGGTTGTTTATCTATGGTGGACTTTCTGATAGTAAGTTGATTTGAACTCACTTGACTTTTGGTATAATGAGCTGCAGTTGATATGTTTTGACAGTCCTGTTGTGCTTGTAACTCCCCCTCTGTTGTGCTATGGTTGTTCTAATATGTTTGTGCATATCCCTCAGTTGTATTGTGATTTTGAAAGTCATGCATTGACTCAGAGTTGTAGTTCTCTGCTGTACTATCATTAGCTGTAGATGAGTTCCCTGAATTACCTGCATCAACTTGTGTATCAAACCTTTGTTCAAAGAGAACTTCTGAATTGTTCATGTATGATCCTACATTGGTTGTAGTATCTAAAAATATAGGTGTTGAAGAGGATTCCGTTCTTTTAAATGGAAAGATATTTTCTTTGAATATTACATCCCTGTTGATGAAGAATGACCTAGTCCCTAGATCATATAGAACATAGCCTTTATGAACTTCTCAATATCCCATATGCACAGATACCCTTGATCTAGACATTAGTTTGTCTCGTTCCTGAATTACTTTAGCAAAGCATAGACACCCTAACACTCTTAAGTGATTTAGAGAGGGTTTTATGTTACATAACCTTTCATAAAGGGATATGTTTGCAATGATTGAGCTAGGTAACCTGTTAAGAATGCATACTGCAGCCAGAATGCAGTGACCCTAGAACCTTATGGGAATATTGACTTGCAGTCATATAGCTGTTGTTATTTTTGAAATATGTCTGTGCTTTGTTTCTGCTACTCCATTCTGTTGAAGAGTGTAAGCACAAGTCTTTTGATGAATCATCCCAAGATTTTTGAATAATTGCTCACACAAGGAATTTACAAATTCTGTGCCATTGTTTGTTCTAATAACCTTGATGACCTTATTAAACTGAGTCTTGACAAAACTGATGAAGTGTTGTAAGCATTGATATACATCTGATTTTTGCTTGAGAAGAATTACTCATGTCATTCTACTGTAGTCATCTACAACTGTAAGGAAGTACTTATTACCATCAAATGTAGCTATTCTGTAAGGACCCCATAGGTCTACATGAATCAAATCAAAACAATACATGCTTCTGATATCACTAGAAGGAAATTGTAATCTAGTTTGTTTAGCACAGGGACAGATTATGCATCTATCTATTTTATCTCTGATATTCTGTATACTGATAGGCAACATTTTCTTAATTACTATATACGGTGAAATCGAAGGAGTCTATTTCTCGCTACAAAGGTGCATTCGGGGGATCATATCAGTATCTAGAGGCTGCAGGACTACGATCGAGCTCCCTCCCCCGAGGTTTTCCCGCGACCCATCAAAGGTTCCGAGGATGGGGAATTCCCTAGGCAAGTAGCCAGCATCAGCAGGGTCTAGCATCGTGCCTAGCCGTCTCTTCCCCGTATCTTTATATTTAATGTACTCTGTACTATATTGTATTTCCTCTCCTATATAAAGGGAATCCATGCCATAAGGGCTAATGTTGCTCCAACTATTCTCCATAATATCAGTAATCTCTCTCTCTCTCTCTCTCTCTCTCTCTCTCTCTCTCTCTCTCTCTCTTTTCTCTCTAACCTGCTCGACCTTAATAGCTCGAGGTTACTCTTAGAGTTTATTGCTTTCATACTTGTTCTTCATTTATTACTTGGTATTGTCTATAAAGAGTCTTGTTTGATCATACCTTAACTGTTATCCCTTTCCTGACTACCCCCGATAGCTCAAGCTCGAGCCAGATATCGACCTCGAGGTCCTTCATCGACCAGTCCGAGGCTCGGGCTGCAAGCTTCTCGGTTTGATTACTGCCCTGTTTTAACTTTAATCTCTCCATTAAACTTCATATTCTTAGCATCAACTGCTCTAACAAACTAGCATAAAAATAGATCACGTATTTTTAGAATCCCATTTACAAATTCAATTGTCGTTACCATTTTCACGGTAAATAGTTTGGCGTCCACCGTGTGGCTAAATATAATAGTGATTATTTAGTTGCTGGTTTTATTCCACAAACGCAAGTTATCTTTCACACTTTTCTTTTCCAAGATCTTTTGATTTCAGGTCAAAATGGCTGGCTCGGTAAACAGAGTCGAGAACGACAACCTCGAAAACTACGGGGAAAGCGGCGTGGCTGTTTCGGCTGCCGGAATGCAACCACAGAATCCCGATAACATGCCTGGACCGATTATGGCGGACGCAGAGTCACAGGACTCACAACAGGTCGATAAAACTTCACACACCGACGGAAGCATACAACATGGCGACCAACTGAAAGCCCAAAAAACCCCGGTTCAGGAAGCACAGGAAGTCAGTCTTCACGATATTTTTGAAATGTTGCAGGCACAACAGTTGGCTATCGCTCAGTAACAAAGCCATGCAAAGACTCCCAGCACAGTAGCGGCGGAAACTACTCTCCCAGCCGACGGGTGCCGGAGAGGTCAAGCAATGACGGATCGGTAGCCGATCCCGCCATCATGAAAATGCTGGAGAATCTCACCAAAAGGATCGAGTCAGGTGAGAAAATGATAGCAGCCAACGATAAGAAGGTCGAAACTTATAAATTTAGAGTTGACCAAATCCCGGGAGCACCCCCGGTCCTAAAAGGTGTAGATTCGAAGAAGTTCGTGCAACGGTCGTTCCTAGAGGAAGCGACTCCGAAACCCATTCCAAAGAAGTTCAGAATGCCAGAACTCCCAAAATACAATGGGACCTCGGATCCCAACGAACACGTCACTGCCTATACGTGCGCGGTGAAAGGCAATGACATAAAAAATGATGAGATCGAATCAGTCCTACTGAAGAAGTTTGGAGAAACGCTCTCGAAGGGGTCCATGATATGGTACCACAACCTAGCTCCCAACTCCATAGATTCATTTTGCATGCTGGCAAACTCCTTCGTAAGGGCGATATCGGTACCATCAAGGAAGCAACAAGCAGTATGACGAATTCAAGATTAAGCAGAGGGAGAACGAAATGCTGCGAGAATTCGTGTCTCATTTTTAGACAGAACGAATGGAGCTACCCCCGTTCTCCGATGACTGGGCAGTGTAGGCCTTCACTCAAGGTCTGAATGAAAGAAGCTCGGTGGCATCAAGGTAGCTAAAAGAAAATCTGATCGAGTATCCCGCCGTAACCTGGTTAGACGTCCACAACCGATACCAATCAAAGATCAGGGTCGAGGACGACCAGCTGGAAGCCCTTTTGGGCTTAATATATCCGAGCAGTCTCTTGGCGAAGGAGACAAGATCAAATAAAGAGAGGTACCAGTCATACCCCGATGATAGGAGAAACGCTCCAAAGCGCAATCCGCCCCGTTACAACCAATTGGTAAACCAATGACACAACCCTCAAGGACCCCTCAACAGAGGTGGCTTCGACGGGTATGTGGGACTAACAGGGGCACCCCGCCTATCAGAGTACAACTTCAACATCGATGTGTCCAACATCGTGTTCGCCATTAGAAAAATCAGGGACGCTAGATGGACCAGACTAGTACACTCAGATCTTTCCCAAAAGAACTACAATTTGATTTGCGAGTTTCACATCTCGCACGGGCACCGAACAGAGGATTGCAGGCAGCTCCGAGATGAAGTGGCATGACTGCTCGATAACGGGAACCTTCGGGAATTTCTCGACAACCGGGTTAAAAACCAATCCTGGGAAAGAGAAATAGTCAAAAGGAACAAAGCAGACGAGCCCCAACACATCGCCCACACAATTTTTTGATGGTCTCCACAGACGCATTCGAATAGGGGACCACCTAGCAACCACCAAACAAGCGGGCCAGAACTCGAAAGCGCTGTCTCCACCCAGGTATAATCACCTCTCCCTCTTTCTATCTTCTACTTCACGATAACTCTTGCGCAGGCTGATGACCAAGGCAATCGAGATGCCACTCCAGCTCGAAGACCCTGAGGCTTCAAAGTGTCCGTTGCACTCTTTTCCTTTGATCGTTTTTTTTTATCCCGAAACGGGTTTTTACCGGAAGGGATTTTTAATGAGGCAACCCACACACTTCCCAAGAAGGATTCAATGAGCCTACGGGGACTTTCTTTGCAACCAGCCTCGCGCCGAGAAATGATGAACAAGACTCCAATAGGAAAAGATGTACCGGATCAAACGGTCCAAGGAGCCGCGCCCGCGCGGGCCGAGCTCACAACAACGAAGCAGCATGTATTTATGCTAAGCAATAAAGAATATCTTTCATCATCTCGTACTCCAAAAAAGGAAAATTCAGCATGCTCACGACAGGGGTCCCTCCACCAAATGCGTCCCGAAATACTCGGAGACTTAGCGTCAACAATTTGGCATC